GTTGTCCATGAAAACACCTCTACAGATCCTTTCCATTGTCTTTCACCCATGGGTCTTGATATTAAACAGTTTTGTCCATCAGAGTTGTCATTTCCATCCTTTTTTTTAAGGTTATTTTATGGGAAAATCAGATTTACAAAGAGGAGAAACAGAGAGAAAGATCTTCCACCCACTACTTCACTCTCCAAGTGACTGCAACAGTCAGAGCTGAGCCGATCTGAAGCCAGGAGCCAGGAGCTTTTTCCTGATCTCCCACATAGGTGCAGAGTCCCAAGGCCTTGATCCATCCTTGACTGCTTTCCCAGGTCACAAGCAGAAAACTGGAAGGGAAGTGGAGCAGCCAGGATACAAACCAGCAACCATATGGGATCCTGGTGCATGCAAGATGAGAAATTGAGCCAGCAGGCTGTTACACCAGGCTCTCCCTCCTTTCTAACCAATGGCATTGATAGCTCAAGACTCAAAGTCTCTGTGTGCATTGATCATTGATTCCATTACTGATTCATGTTATTATTGAGCACCTGGAAAGAAATTGTGTGTAGTGATAGCCCAGAGGCAAGATTCTAATGGCATATAGTGCAAGATTGGGAGGTTCCAGTGGTAGACACCTGAATATTGGGGGAATAAACTTACATGGCATAAAGCAAGGCATTCCTCTGACCTATTTTGACCAATCTTAACTAATTCCTAGCATATTATGTTGATTAAAAGACTACTAATTTCACCAATAAAAACATGAGTGGAAGTGCTAATTAGCAGCCTTGGGTGTGAATCAAAAATCTAGATATTAATTGAGGCAACTGTAAATGTTAGCTTCAGGGTGTGGTGTTTTCCAGTAAAATATTAGATGATCACTTGGAAGTATGAATTCCTGATCCAGCAATTGTCAGCCCCTGAGTAGCGTTTAAAAAATTTTTTTCATAAATATGTATATACATATATATATATATCACATTCTCCATGCCAACATATTTCAGAGAAAATTACAGTCATGATCAGACTGTCCACATGGAAAATTCATCTGTCTACCACCAATTATAACTAAGACCTGAGTCTGAGATGGGGAAAGGACCTGGATGTACGTTTCTAATGAAGCTGTCTCTCCCAGGGATAAAACCTCAGCATTGTTTCCCATCAAGGTTTGTCTCCTTCCTGTTGTGAAACATTCTAGGTTTCATGTTGTTGCTTGAGACTTTCAAGAAGAAACACAGAAAGCCAGGACACTCCTGTAAAAAAAGATGGGGCCATAGCCTTCAACCTTGACCATCCTTCCCAGAAACAGAATATCCAAACACTACAGCAGGCAGGCCCCTGCATTAGTCAGCTTGGCATGCTTTAGGTAAAGTACCTGAGCAGAAATTTGTGGAAAAGAAAAGATTTACCTTGACTTACAGCTTGGAGTTACAGCTCAAGAACTGGTGGCCCCAATTACATTTCCTCTGGAAGTTGGTAGAGACTGGTAAGGGTGGAGCAGGTGCAAAGGTACAGCACTTGGCAAGCCAGGAATCAGAGAAAGAAACTTGTCTCAAACAACAGTACCTCTCATGAGAACTACCTTCTGAAGGCACATTCCCAAAGAATACCCCCTAGGCCTGTCTCTTAAGATGCCATGCCCCATTCCACCTGTCATTAACACAAGACTTCAGAGTTCATCCGTTCTGGGTTTGGGTTACCAAGTGCTGTTCAATCCATGATAGACCCAGAGTAGTTGCAGTTATTCTAACTCCATAGCATTCTAGCAAGGCGATACCTGCCCTGGGATGTCACCACCTACTGTCAGCCTGTCCTTTGTGACAGATGCCTTGATAGCTTGGTTTCCTTCTACTGCTTCATCCAGGACTAAAACCCTGAGATAATTCATGGACACCAATGGAGGTCCGAGGAAATGCAGAGCAAGAGCCTGTCATTCAAACCTGGGGACAAATCTTTCAGCTGAAATCCATTAGCATGGTATTTCTCCTTGATGCTGTTGGCAGAAGAGGGAGTAATCCTTTAAGTGAGATTACTGACCTCAGGGACCTGAAGCAGGCAAAAGTGTTGTGTGATATTTCCAGAGGTAGGGTCTGCCCTCGGAGGTCAGGATTCACAGGATAGCCATTACTAACCATGAGAGTGTGGCTGATCAAATTAAGGAATGAGTTTTTCAATTCAATTACACCCTCAGTAGAAATGGCCTCACTAATGCTTGGGGAAAGAATTATACCCAGTCTATAAAACCCAACATTTCTAAACCCAATTTTGCACATTACTCTAAAGGTTAATTCAAGATCTCTCTTCCAAACGGGAAGTTAAATACAGCCAATAGATGCAAGGAGTCTGCTGACTGACTGGGGGGTTTATCAGTCTGCAAGAGTTCATTAGTTTTAATTAGTGTAATCACTAATGTTGCATTAACAGTTTAGCGAAGGAAAGTAATTACTCACACATCCACTGTATTAGATGGGATGATTAGAATTCATTTTCCAAAACGATTAGCATTTTGCCAATTAAAAGAATCCCTTCTCCCTGGCAGCAGCCCCATGACCTCCCTCACCCATGGATCATTTAAATGAAACATCTTTTTGCAGTCGAAGATAGACCAGAAAGAAACAAAGAATTAAGGCTGCGTTTATTCTTAGCGCCTTCTGGGCCACAGCAATTGCAGAGGTCTCGATGAGTTTATAATGTCCTACTTTATTTGCATAGTCATTCACTCCAATCTCTTTGGATTATATCTCTGGCTGCTTTATAAAGCAGCAGCAATTAAACAAGGTTAGTAGAAGATGAAGTCATAGGAAGCAACAAGAGTTAGCCCAGGTAGAATGATCATTGCTTGAGTCCAGCAGTTGAGCAACGGTGAAACTTGAGGCTGGCCAGTTTTGTGTGCCAGCTCAGTATATATTGTGCCTACAGTGGGCAGCTGAGTCTGGATCTGATTGTTAGCTATCATTGTGCCTGGAGAAGGGGGATGGGTTATCACAGAGCCTAGGCTTGGCTTGTGAGATTTTGACAACATAGCCCCAAACTTCCTCCCCAACTTCATCAGATTCTCCCATCTACCAGTCGCTTGGAACTTTTTGTCGATTCTTAAATACCCCATATCCTTTCATACCTTTAAGAATGGTATCAACCACTAATAGGTTCATGGGAATTAAGCCAGATGGATTTTTTAAAATAAGGAAACTGATCCTTTGTGTGAAAAAATAAATATAAAAATGATTATGTATTCCACAACTCCTTTCCATAATACCTAACACTTAGTATTGTTGCAAAGCAGTCAGTTCTCTTCCCCATATTTAACCCTGAGGAGTAAGTCAGAGTCACCAACAGCATTCTGGAATACAACCTGTTCCTTTAATGCTGAAGATGTGCAGTCCCCTTGGAGGCAGGGGCCTGGTAAGGGCACAGAATGGGTGACAACAGGCTGCCCAGTTACTGCTGACTAAGGACAATGCAGAAGCTACCTGAAAGACTCCATGCAGCTCAACACTCCCAGGGAAAGAACACAGACATTGGCAGTTGGAGCCAACAGCTCCAAAGCAGAGCTGATTCGGCACCCTCCAGATCACCTCCACTACCAAAGGAACCTTTTCAATGTGCCATATATAGGCTAGGTGGGAAGGGGTATGTGCATGTGTGTGGATACACATCCTGTGTATCACTAATGTATATTGTATATGGATGGGCATGCATGTGTTTGCATACATGATTGTGGGTGCACATATGTGTATGTGTGTGTGCACGTGCATGCATGCACATCTGTCACCATGAGCCAGGGGAGACAGAATCTGGCAGCAACAGTGGTGAGTGTGAAATATCCATGTCCCCTTGTGATCCTCTCCACTTCACAAATGAAACCATGTGGGACGGCAGGAGCCTCACCTACCTGAATTTCAGGAATGGTTTGGAGAACTGGAACAGAAAAAAAATGTTTTCTACCTGAAAATAGCCTAGGGAGCAGTGCACTGCTGAGCTGCCAGCACTGCTGTGGGGCACAGGTTCTGTAGCCCAATTCAAGAAAGACAGATCGGCGGCAGGGAGTCGATGGAGGTAGGACCTTCCGGCTGACATGAGTGGGCAGGAGAGGTAGGTGTTCAGAGTCAGGAGGTGTAAATATGAATCACAGCCTTTGGAGCCCAGGCCTGTTTTCAACTGAAAAATATGATGCATAGCCTCATGTCATCAGAGAAGTAATTAATTGTATCTACATTAATGTCAGTTCAACCCATACAAAAAAGGCATAGCATCCACTGTGCTGTATCTCTAACACCTATAGGGTCTGGTCTAAGCAGGTACTCTGTGTTTACAGATAGCTGATCAGAAGTATCATGATTCCTGGTGTTTTTGAGGACACATATGGGCATGCTGCCTTGAAGAACAAAAGGCTAAGGGAGTCTCATGGTGGAAGCTGAATGATGCTGAGTCCCTGGGAGTTGTGGCAGTGACAAACCAGGCAGAATCAGGGTAGAAGTGTGCCTTAGGTGGGGTGGAGTGCGTGGGAGAAGCAGAGACTCAGTGGGGCTATCACCCTGGCCACTGTGGTCCAACACTCACATCAGTTCTGCATCCCACCAGCTGCCTTAGTAACTAGCACAACCCCGGTAGAAATCACAAAATAGTAACAACAACAAAGTACTTGGAAAAAAATCCATTGACTTTCAGTCCTACATAAAATTATCAACAGCATCAAACAAAACAAAAGAATGGATTTTCTTGTCCTTTATGATGGATGACCATCATCATGTAAGGGGTAAAATTTCCTAGTTGCTTGGGTATCTTATTAAAGACTCAGAAAGGCTTATAAATATTATATTTTCTTGAACTAAGTGTTTGTCTTCTTAGCTTCCCCAAAGCACCTACCAGAACCATCTTAAACCTTAATTTAATTTTTTTTGGTAGGAAATGAAACTTTTTCTGTCCAACCCAGAGAACCTGCTGTTAGCCCCTGGAGCACCAGGGAAATCATAGCCAAGAGGAAAGTCACAGCTTCAGTCCACTAACCTGTTTGTGTTTCCTTCCAGTATGTGTCCAGTCGACGAGCCATCACTCAGAGCACCACAGAGCAAGGCAGCTTCCACCCTCACCATCTCACCCACCATCACTGTCATCACCACCACCACCGCCACCTGTGTCACCACGCCCACCCCCACCACCTCCACCACCAGGAGGCAGGGCTGCACAGCGCCCAGGTGACACCCTGCATGTGCCCCTTGTTCTCCTGCCAGTGGGAAGGCCACTTGGAAGTAGTGGTGCCACACCTGAGGCAGATCCACAGGGTTGACATCCTGCAGGGAGCCGAAATAGTCTTCTTGGCTACGGACATGCACCTGCCTGCGCCAGCCGACTGGATCATCATGCACTCCTGCCTTGGCCACCACTTCCTACTGGTGCTAAGGAAGCAGGAGAGGCACGAGGGGCACCCTCAGTTCTTTGCCACCATGATGCTGATCGGGACCCCTACCCAGGCCGACTGCTTCACCTACCGCCTGGAGCTCAACAGGAATCACCGGCGTCTCAAATGGGAGGCCACCCCCCGGTCTGTCCTTGAGTGTGTGGACTCAGTGATAACTGATGGGGACTGCCTTGTCCTCAACACATCATTGGCCCAGCTGTTCTCTGACAATGGCAGCCTTGCTATCGGGATTGCTATCACTGAGACGGAAGTCCATGCCACTGAAACCGAGATGTGAGGGCAAGGAAGGCCCCTGGAGGCCCACATCCAGCCCCCAGTGAACTCTGCCTGTGCTCCTAGGACCTCCGAGAGTCAGGATTCCACACAGCCTTGTTAGTCTTCTCCTTTCTTCTTTGCTTCTTCTTCTTCTTCCTCCCCTCTCTAAATAATTTTGTGATATTTGGTATTTGTCTGCCATGGGCATTATGTTCCGTAACATCATGTGATTCAAGATCTTAGTAAGATGTTTGTCCTGTTGTGTTGTTATAATTTGTAGAATATTCGTATGAGTCAATCAGAAGAGCTATTTCCTGTTACCACCAATTCCTTTCTCCCCTGCTTCCAAAATGAGCAAAAGCTACCATGATTATGAAGCAGACTGTTGGCGAAGGAAGGAGACTTGGTGTCCAAATCATTTCTTCCTTGTCAGCCCAGTCTGTTTTAGAGAGAGTTCACACAGGGCTGTAGGGACAGATAAAAAGGAGGTCTAGAACCTGCTCCTGGCTGGCAGATAGATCATGTTTCAAACCAACCCAGCTCAGCACTGATACCTTCCCAGGAGCCTCAGCGGCAAAGCCCAGCCCCACAGATGGCAGGAGAACAGCTCCTCCACAGGCAGCAGAGATCTGGGCATGAGTCCTGCATGCTGCTGACATTGGGGCTAGGGAAACTGGGCAGATGTTGAGTGCTTTCTAGTTGGGTTCTGATGGCCTTGTCCTCAGCCTGTGCTATCTTTTCCTCTCCTAAAAGTCCAGTCCTCAAGTTTTTGGTGCTTTCCTGAAAACACCTTTGCCCTTCACTGAGCAAGGAGTAGACAAGGATGGCCAATATGCAGGAGAAGAGAGATGGCAGAAAACAAACAAACAAAAAACCCTAAGTCTTTCACCCCCAGGGACACCTTTGCTTCTGAGAATTTTACCATTAACTAATAGAATCCTTCAAGCCCATTCCCAGGGGAGTCCTTGTGTATTAAAGATCTGCTTTGATCTTGGTGCTTCCTAAATCATGGCCATGACACCTGTCTCACACACTAGAAAGACAGAAGGCTGTCCCCAAGACCTCAGTCCTACAGGGCTGGCCCTGACCTCCACACACTGGGAGGTTCCTTTACCTTTCTCAACTCATGCACATCATTGTCGCAACAGATGTGCATGCAATACCTTGTTGTGCCATGTGTAGAAAGGTAGGGCAAGTCTGCATTGCCCTCACATGCACTGCTTTCTCTCAATCTATTTGTCAGAATAGCCCATCAGTATCTCACAGGAATCCTCCACATATGTAAAAAAAGTGAGCATCTTTGAGTCAGCTTCATCTTTTCCTAAGTCGGGTTTCTTTAAGTTTTCCCAGGAGCACCTCTCCTTCCTCCTTCTGGGCATGTTATTCCCCGCCAGTCACTTTCTGGACACTGTCAAAGTGTGGTACCCTAAGCACATGCCATGCTCATTGGAATCCAGTGCATCCTCCACCAACCAGATGTTATTTTGTGTCTTCTCCCTCAACACAGCCACTTTGGCTGAATTCCAGTTAGCCTCCTCTGGAGACCTTAGTTTCACACAAATGGCCTGATTTGTCATTAGCAATCTTTCTGCACCCCGAATGACTGATCCTGAAACACAGTCCCTTTCCCAACAACTGAGCTTTTGTCTAGCCATATCTGGGGATGACAAATACCAGAAAAGAGGTAACAGCTGATAGGAGAGTTAATAGTACAGACCCTGTTGATTACAGGGACCCTGAGACTTTACTCTGTGAAGGTCTAAAGGGGACAACAGGTACCATGGCACAGATTGAGGCAAAGTGCTTGTACTCTGCCATCCCAATGAATACCACCAGTTGCTACTCCTAAATCATACAGATGGCCCAGAAACTGGCTCTCATGGCTTCCCACCTGCTCTTCAGGGTCCTCTCAAAACTCAAGACATAGTTGGCTATAAGGTTGATCCTTCCAGAAGCTACAATCCCTTGCTTGGCTCCCAAAATCTATAGTTTTGAAGCCATTTGTGTGACATCACAAACAAACAAGACCTCAATAAGAATATAATTAGTACCTATAGGACCTTAAGGTTTTTTTTCAAATGTCACCTTTGCCTTCTTGTAGTACCAAATGAGTGAATCAAACTGCGACTAATTTCTAGTTACTTGTGTTGTACGCAAAACTGTGTTAGGAATAAAGTACCCTGGGTAAGAGCTTGTATGTTGGCTGCTAGAAACTCTTAGATTTAAAGGTGGGGAATGTTATTTTCTTATCACTATGGTGCTCTCAAAAAGGTTTTCTCTTTATGTCCACTTGTAAAGAATTGAAGGAAAAGGAGGAACCAACATCACCACAGTGTGTTGGAGCTTGTTAGTTCCCAAAGGGCTCTCTCCCTAGAGTCTCAGGTTAATTTATCATTAATATCCTCAATAAACTATGAAGGTTCAGAGACATGAAATGACCTTCTCTGGGTAACACATCAAGTGGTTAAGTCACATCTATAATCCAGACCAATGGACTGCAATCTTGGTGACCCAAAGTATGAGTTCTCAGTTGATTATGGGTCTGAGATTCAACTGGGTTACACAACTTGGTTCTAGGGTCACTGTAGGAACATAGAGTCACTAGAGTGGATTTGCCTTGAGAGGTGTCTGGTCCACCTGGAAGCAGGTTGATCTTAGCAAGGGATGGGGTTGGAGAGAGTGGAGGTAGAAAGATGCAGGCTCCAGTGCTTTTATGCCCTTTCAGTCTCCCTTTGACACTCCCAGGCTTCCCAGAGCCCTGTAATCTGGCTGCTTCATTTACACCAAGATATCAAACTTAACAATTCACATTTTAAGGATTATTTGTATTTTTAAAAATGCCTAGGATTAGGTTTAGGTACAGTAGTTAAGCCAAGCTACTATTGGCATGGGATACATATTCCACAAGGAGTGATTATGTTCTAGCCCCAGCTCCACCTCTGATTTCAACTTCCAGCTAGAGTGTATTCTAGTAGGCAACACATGATGGTTCAAGCACTTAGACCCCTCCTCTCTCTATGGGAGACCTGCATGGAGTTTCAGGCTCTTGGCTTTTGATTAGCCTTACACCAAGCTCGTGCGAGCATTTGGACAGTGAACCTTTTTCTGTCCCTCGCATTCCAAATAAATAATTAAAAGAAGGTCTAAAGAAAGCACTCAATAGTGAGAAATGAGCTTCATGTATTTGAAATTAAGCATCTATAAAAAGTAATAGTATTTTTTAAGAAAGTTTGGAAAGAAGCAATTTCCTTCACTTGAGAATGAGCCTACATGATTGGTTGGTACTACAAGCCATACAGAGAAGACATTGTTTAACAATCAGTATCTGTATGAGCTCGTACCTGGCCTGGATCTTATTACTGCCATGGCTTCAGAGACCAGCTTGGATGTGGATTAGAAATGGTAACCCTAGCAGTGCTCATGGCCATCATTCATAAAAGGCTTACTTTGTGACATGATAGACTGAGCACTTTGAGTAAATACTCATATAATCTCCATAACAACTCTAAATAGCAGGTACTATTTATTGTGCCCATGTTATAGAAGAGAACCTGAAGTTTAGAGAGGTTTAAGGTCACACAGCTTACAAATGGCAGAGCTGGATCTGGAGTCCAGTATGGTCAACTCCAAAGTGCAGGCTTCTGGTCAACTACATCACTTCTGTGAATTTGTGGACCTTCTCCTCAAATGGACCCATCATCAAGTCTGAATGGCATTGAGTCCTTCTGGTACTAAAGTATTACAACTACCTCTTCTTTCTTCTTTTTCTCCTTATTTTTGTAGATCAAAATCCAGTAGTGCGCCAGAGCTGGCTTGTTTTCAGGTTATCAGACTTTCAGGAATTTTGCAAGAAGATTATTAAGTACAGTCATACTAAAACTGCACTAAATAAATTTATAATTAAAGAAATCATATTTAATGCAAATACAATAATTACTCAAATTCATCCCTTCCTAAGGGGATTTCACTACTCATTTTATTTTCTTTCATATCTATAAGATAAACATATTATATAATGGTGCCTCCAGCCAACTGCATCTTCCAACTCAACACTTAGTGACACCATGGTGACAGCATAAAGTCAGCCATGGCAGTGGAGTATTCACACCATGAAAAGTTGAAAATGCCTCAAGCAAGGTCTTTTCCTTTTCCAGAAAGCTGATTTTTAACTGTTTACTGGCATGCCAATGCCTAGACCTCACAAATGCACACTATAGAAGAAGAATCAAGACCCTGATGGGTATGTTAACAGGACACAGATAAGAGCCAGGACTGCCAAAGAGCCAGTTATTAGCAAAATTCAAAGTGCAAGTTTAGGAAATTCTATTCAATGGTTCCAATGGAAATATCAACATATTCACAAAACCACCCTGTTGTCAAGTTCAATATCAAAAGTAAAACAAGCTTTGTAAGCAAGCTGGACTCCCCTCCATTACTTATTCTTCTACATCCCCTCCCTATTTCTTTCTCCCAAAATCCACTCTAAAGAAATGCTTTCCTTTGAAATGTGAAATTGGAAATATCCGCCATTTGAGAAAAACTCAGTAAACAGTCTCAACCTTCACATAAAATGCTTTACGATGAAACTGAATTCTCTGACTCTGAATGGCGTGGAAGGCAAAGAGCTGAGATACGTCCCATGAAGACTGCAGTCCCACACCTTCCTTTCCTAGTTGGTTTCTTAACTCATTGCAACTCGGCAAGCACCTTGTTCACACTCTGCCACACATTCATACTGATATGCCTGCTAAATCAAGAGTATGGTTCTCACCAGGAAGAAAGTCACAGGAAACTCCAGGCTAACTGCCTGGAAACAGACAAAAGATCCAAGGTCAACAGCAAAGCAGTGACTCTGATCCCAACGGTTTCAATGTAAAGATGACAGACATGAGGCCTGTGGAGAACTTTCACTTGGATCCAGGGTGTGGTGAAAAGTCTGAGTATCATTCATAGGACCCTACAAAGGTGTTTTTTGGTTTTTGTTTGTTTGTTTGTTTTTAAAGGCAGGTCAGATTTACAGAG